AAGAGCGTTTCTAGATTCCCCGTGGATCCAGCTCCTCCTAAGGGACGTTAGAGGAGTCGTGAAACTTGGGGGAGCGAGGACGAAACCGGTCTCAAAGGCCTTTGAGCAGCCGAGAGCCTCGTAGCCGAGCCTGGGGGAAGTCCCACACCCCCCTTTTCAAATTCGACCCGTGGCTGGAGAGGCAGCCGTTCGATATGGCACAGAGCCCAGCCCGGATGGAGACACCGTAAAGCCCGACCCAAAGGATTTCGCACTTAGGCAAGCGCCAGCCCACCCCATAGGTGCACAGCTGAAGATGCTCATTTCTAGAAAGGTTTTGCTCTTCTAGCGGAGTGTGTCGCTCCCCGAGCGAAAGGCACGGTCTTTTTCCCTAGGCCGCTATCTTTGCTCGAGGTCTTAACCCCGTCAGGCAATCGGAGAAGCGAGTCTTGTGCTCTCGTCAGGGAGGACTGTAATGTGGCCTCATTGCGTGCCAAGAAGGGAAAGGCTGCATGAAACGAGGCATTGATCTTCCCCCGGCGCGGCGCGCCTCCAAAGGCCGCTGACCTTGGACCTTGTTGCCGGTAGCCTGGAACCCGTTACAGCTCGGAAATCGCAACGCGGTGGCCGGGTTGTTTCAAATCAGCCCCTTTTAAATGAAAATGCAAAAAGAGTGATCTCGAGTCCCTGCTCTGCTCGCGTGCTATGAAATGCCGCCGGCTCTCGTTGTATGGAAACACCCGTGTCCTGTGACATGTAACAGAGCCTCGCTGTGCTTGGGACCGTGCGCAGCTGCGCGCCGTGTCCCCGCGGCTGCTCCCAGCCGCAGCGTATGCCGTAGCTGAGCCGTGCTCGGTGCCCTCTGCCCCCCTGCCCTCTTCAGTTTCCTTGCTGGCTCTCGCTCCGTGGTATTTGCGTGGCATCTGCCCATTAAACATACAGCAAGGGGACATCAGTGGCTGCTGAGAGCCTGACCCGTCCGTATCAAAAGAGCCAAGCCAGCCTCCCGGCTAGTAGGCGTGATAATTGCACTCGGCAAAGACATTCATTTGCTCCTGCAGCTGGGTCAGAGCCACACGTGTCCCTCCCTCCAGTCCAGGCGCCCCCGTGTTGCGGTTCAGATCTCAATCCGGAGCTTGCTCTGCCGGGGAGCCTCTCCTCCTGTCTGTTGAAAGCAGCATGGGAGGAATGTGCTGTTCATTTGAAATGGCGTTGGTGGCGTGAACCAACCAAACAGCTGTCGCCTGGCGTGTGCACGGGAGCCGTGGTCAGCCAGGTCACGAGGGAGACGTTGCTAAATTCTTCAGGCGTACAAATCATCTAATGACTGGCCCCGTCCAGGGCGGGCATGCCCAAGGGGTAGGGCAGCAACCTTTAATAACTTTGGAAGGTTATTTCATGTCAGGATGTGTTGTCGTGCTCGCTGATGCAGCGCACGCTGCCCTTGCGCACCTCTCTGCGTGTGCATGCATGCGCGTGCCCTGCCGCGGGAGCGAGCCCACATGCCCGTCGCGCTGGCTGTGCAGCAAACCCCACACCTCCCAATGCACTGCTTGAAAGCAGCCCCCGCAGAAGCCGTCTCAGTCCCTTCTGACGTGAGCTCCCCGTCTGGCTATCAAGAGACACCCTGGTTTATAGAGAAAAGGGGTGCGCCCGCATCCCGCCGAGAGATTAAAAAGAGCTCCTCATGCTGAGAGATTTCTACTCTCCATCCGAATCCAGTGACTGATTTCATAGGGCCGAGGAGGTGCTGAGTGCCTCAAGCAGAGATCGCTTTGTAACCCAGCGGCTGTCGGCCGCGTGCAACCGTGGATGCTGACCCAGGGCGCTGTGCACCCAAGCCTGAGAAGTGACAAGCAAGTGTCTCCGTTCGGCGGTAGCTGTCGAAATGAAAAGCGTCGAGCGACTGTGAAATCAAAGGAGAAATTTTGTTGCGGGACCTGGAAGTGAACCAGGCGGCCGGTTGTGCCGTGAAACGCGCGGTGGATCTTCCCGACCAGAGAAGTCCTCATTAATTTATACAGCTGAGCGGCAGCACCGGGTCTTGGAATCTAAATGAATTATGGTACAATAGACGTCTGTATGAAATGAGGTCAGGCACGCAGGGACTGAATGAGGACTCTAAATAGAGGGTGCCGCGGTACAATAACAACCTCGAAGACCGTATGTTTCCGGGAAGTCCTGAAAGTTTTGAGGGACATGCTTTGAAAAATAAAATGTGCAGCTTTAAAGAGCTGCGCCAGCCTTGCAAAGGAGCCCTTTTCCTGCCGGGAGGGAAGTGCACCCAAGGAGCGCGGTGTGAAGGTTGGCGTTAGCAAGTCTCTGCGAGCAACCAAACAAAAATGAGCTGCCGGACTCTCGGCCCGGGTTTGAGGTTGTTCACGAGCTGACCGGCGGTTTTGGTGTACGTGCCCAACGAGGAGACGGGTCTGCCCTGCTCGCTCGTACAAAAAGACACCAGCTTTCGGCTCTGGGTTTCCATTCCTCAGTCGCTAGCGCCTTCCAAAGTGACCCCAAGACTGATGTGCATGCATATAGGGGCATGCTCTTTGGGTTTTGAACTTCTCTGGGCCTTGAATTCACTCTGATGGAAGGCAATACGTAACCCGTTGGTCAGGGTCAGCTCGTTTTGTGTCCTCAGAGGGACAGAGGCTCGCATCTTACCAGAGCCACCGCGGCATCCCGTGTGCCTGTATCTTGGCGTCCGACGTCTGGGCTAGGCTCGGTGGGTCCAGTTTCTGGGTCCAGAGGGCAGGCACTGGGAGGCCAGAAGCTCTCCCTCCACTTTACGCAGGCTGGCTCTCCTTAACCGTTGCATCCTGTTGTGGGTTTCCAGGTTCCTACCACGGTCCCGCGGTCTAACAGCCGCTCTGGAAGGACAGGACGGAGCGCGGCCAAGGACCAAAGCGACCAGGGGGTGCAGGCATGGCTGTGGCCGGGATGCTCTGCAGCACTGAAAGGCCGGGTTTATCCTGCCTGCGAGGATCAAGTGCATTTGAAGTGCGATTCCTACGTGCCGTCTGAAGGTGGTTGTACACGAGGAGAGCAGCCAAATGGCTCCTGCTGGCGGCTGCGTGCGGTCCCATCTGCTCCCTTCGACACGGTTCAACCCCGGGGAGTCGGTGCTGGGGGCGGGAGCGGGAGTCTGCAGGCCCTCGCATCCTCGGGTATCTTTTTGATGATGGTAGCACAAAGAGGGGCACGGGAGGTGGTTTGTTGGGATCTGATTTTCGGGGGAGAAGGTGGGGATGGAAACGCGGGCGTGTTTCGGTGTAGTCGGGTACAAGCTATCCCGGTAATAAAGACTGCCCTCCGCACCCCCTGCACAGCTTCCTGGCGCTGTGCTCACCCTCTCGCCCTCGGCTTCGGGCTCTCTGGGGTGAGGCAGATGCTGGTCTCGGCTTTCCGCGTGTGAAGCCAGCTGACCCTAAAAGAAGGGCTGAAGGGAGATGGGTTTCGTGCACAGAAACGCTGTCAAAGCTGCGTTGCGAAGCGCGCGTTTCAGAAGCCCGTCGGGGTTAGAAAACGAATTCTGCGCTCGCCGTTTCTCTGTCACGCTCTAACGCTGTCACAACGAGTCTCGGAGTCGAGTCAGGCGAATGCAGTTGGCTCCTTTGCAGGAGAGCGACAGCCAGGAGCACCGACGGCTCTTGTCCACGTGGCCATGTGCCAGCCAGATTTGGGACCTGGGATCTTCCCGGTTGGTGGCGTTGAATGAGGCAGGATTTGAGACTGTTTTCAGGAGCAAAGCGGCAGCTCTGTTTCTAGCAGGGGGGAACAGAAAGGAAAACGCGGGTCCTGGGGGGCGTCTTTTGATGCCAGGTGATGCTCATGGGAGTGCTGCTATCTTCGCGCTCTGATGTTGGGGCGGGAGGCCTCCATCTCTCTCCTGAGGAGTATTCGGAGACACAGCGGGCCTGTCTACACATGCACAATTACTGCGCAGTACGGGCGCACATGCCCATGCACACACACCTGTACACGCGCACGCCCATACTGCGCAGTAAATATGGTGACTTATGCCAAATTGAACGTAAATTTGATACCTGCATCATGTTGGTCTCAAATTTACGCCCAATCAGTTACTGTGCAGTAATGCACATGTAGACACCGTACTGCGCAGTAACACTGTCTAACACTAACTTGAGTCCCGAGTCAGCCCGCACGCAGCGTGAATGTGCTTTAACACCTGCACGTGTAGACGCCAGCCTATTCCCGCTTCCTGTGCAGTAACTTACTGTGCAGTAAATTTAAGCCGGCGTAAATGCATGTGTAGACACGCCCAATGGCTAGAAAGGAAGTTGGAATGAAAGATGTTTTATAAGATGCCAGGGCTGTTGAATGAAAAAAAATGTATCTGGCCACATAATTCTCAGCAAATGGTGCAAAGGGTCCAGACGTCCTGGGTTTCTGCAGCCTCAGTGGCAGCAACCTTAAAGGATTGTGCTGCGCCGTCTTCTGACTCATTGTCTCTTGTCTCTCCACAGGCTATGAGCATCAGCAAAGCCATCAACACACAGGAAGCACCAGTGAAGGAGAAGCATGCCCGCAGTATCCTTTTCCTCAATGGCAGCAGCAAACCCTGTTCGTCAGGGCCCCGAAATGTTGTCTGGATTTCACCAAGGGCTTTACAACATTATGGCTATAGTTTCCTGCACGTCGGCCTGCAGTCGGGCACGTTTCAAGGGCTGTAAATGCCGCAGGAGTTGGGAAGGAATTTTTCCTACCAACCAGCTTTGTCATTAGGGCTGGGGAGAAAGGGAGGGCATATTTGGCAGATGCTCATCAGGCCATCAGGGTGAGTGGGGGTGGCACGCCACAGTCCCATGTCTTTGCTGCAGTTGATAAGGAAGCGAGCTATAGGGGCATGGTTGGACCCAGGCACTGAGGATGAGCAAAAATAGCAGTGCTAAAACAGCTGTGAGGCAGGGCACCTCTGGGGAAAATGTAAATCGAGGAGCTGAGGGGAAAAATACTTCCTTGGCATGGCTCTCGCAAGAGGCCTGGCTGTGTTGGGCACTGCAGCTGCCTGCAGACCAGGCCGCACCACTGTTGATGGCTGCAGGTGAATTGGAGTCCAGTCTGTGGTTCTTTTTAAAAAGGAGCGAACACAGGAGACAAGGGTCACAAAGGGGGGGAGGCTGAGCGGGGCCAGGCAGCTTTTCCGCTCGGACCGGCTGGGCGATGGCATTCCCCGGGGCACGTGCCTGTGCGATTAGCCTTGACTCCTGGGCAGGGATTATTCTGGGGACCCACCATGAGAAAGGCGCGTTCACGTTCTGGTCCTACGCCATCGGCCTCCCCCTGCCCAGCAGCTCCATCCTCAGCTGGAAGTTCTGCCACGTTCTGCACAAGGTCCTGAGAGACGGGCATCCCAACGTAAGTGTCGCTGTCGCACGCTGGGCACGTGGAGCGCGTGTCGTGCCCAGTGCCCTATGCCGTTCACGAGGGAGGCTTCTCCTCCTCCCCGCTTGGCAGGGAGGGGACTCGAGGCACGGGCCCGTGGGAGAGGGTGAGTGCTGATGTGTGGCTGCGGGTGGGCAGGACTGTCAGCCCCGGTGGATGGCCACAGGCTCGAAAGGCAGCACGGTCACGTTGATATGATGTACACGGGGCTTGCAGGCCAGCGCAAATGATCCCAGGATGTGCAGCAGGCAGACGTGTGGCCAGAAGTCAGAGGGACGGACATATCAGCGCCCTGAATGCCCTGGTCTGGCTGTCCACTCTGGTGTTGTCTGACCCTGGAAGCGGGGTGCCAGGCTTCCTGTGCTTGCTGTGATGCTGCCTTCACTGAACGAGAGCCCCCTTTTTCCTTATAATATTCTCCGCTTCGTGTGGTGCACGTTTCTCCCATGAGAAACATGAACAGTCCCTGCATATACGGTCCAGCGCCTCCCCCTGCCCCCAGCCTTGCACTCAGCTTCCTGTAACGAGCACAGTCCTCCAGCGAATCCAAGGCTGAATCACTGGCTTGACGGAGCTGCTGTCAGTCCTGCGGGAATGCTGAATCCGCTTTCTGGGGATTCCTGTGCCCATAGCACCCTCCGCCTGCAAAGCTGGGATTTAATAGAAGATGTCCTGGCCACGGTGAGAGCAGGAGACATCTTCCTGGGCAACACATATCAGTCGCCACATCGGGCGTGCTGTGTTGTGAGATGCTGGAGCGCTTTGTTAGTCGAGCGTTCAGAAACTCAACCCGTGGGTACCGACATGAAAGGGACCCGGGAAGCAGCATAGCTAGCGTTTGTGCGTCGAGGCTGCACGGACCTGTCTGTCCTCATTGTGAAGAGCCGCCTGCGGTGACACTGTCCTAGTTGCCTCCTGCTTTCTCACTCGTAGCTCTCAAAGACTTCACTTGGTTGTAGTCCCTGTGATGTGGGAAACGGAGTCAGCGGCGGCGAGACTGGCCCGTGCTCACAACGCAGCCCGGCTCTGAGAACTCGTTTCCTGCCATTCTCGCTGCTCCATCTGTATCCCCAAGGGTATTGAAAGCCTGCTGTTCTCACAGGCCTTGTTAAGACCAGGCCTTTCATCCCTTTCACTGGTTAGAGTGAAACGGTAGCTTCCAGAGAGAAACAGAGACCTCTTCTAGTTTGTTCTGGGGGAGCACTAGCCTGGGGAGCCTGCAGACCCATTTCTCTCTGCCAAAACAGAGTCGCCACTTGGTGCCATTTGAAAGGTTTCCCTTGTGCCCTCTCTGGCCCTATATCCTCACAACAGGCTGGCGAGGAGGGGATCTGGGAGGAACCGGGCTGGCGAGGAGGGGATCTGCTCATCACAGCAGATGGGGCTGCAGCAGGGTTGGTGCGGTCAAGATGATCTCAATGTACATTGACTTCCCGTAATTGCACATGAGCACGCATGCGGCACGTCTAACCCCCGTGCCTTTATTCCCAGGTTCTTCAGGACTGTCAGAGGTATCGGAGTAACATCCGGGAGACCGGAGACCTGTGGGTGAGTCGTGGCAACGGGCTGTGCCTGCTCCTGACAGCCCAAAGCCCCGTGGTGTAGAGAGGTGCAGCTGGTCTTGGGGAACAGCTGGTTTCGGCCCCGGGCACAGTGACTGAACGTAGAGAGGGGCAGACGCTCTGGAGAGCGTAACCCTCCCTCGAGCGTGCTCAGCCTGTGATGCATTGCTTGTTGTTGAAATGGGGGTGGGATGAAGGAAGACAAAGCTGTGATTTTTTTGGACAGGAAGCGAGCATGGCTGCCGTATCTGATGCTGCAAAGGATGAGAGGAGGAAGTGGGGGAGGTGAGGGAGGCCTGAACTGCACATTGGCGTCACCCTCTTTGCATTTGGAGAGCAAGGCAAAGCCCTGGGGTTTTGTCCACTGGCATCAACATCTGGGAAGCAGCTGGCTATGTGGAGCTCAGCGGGCAGTGTATCCTCACCCATAGGAGAGAGAAGGCAGAGCAGCACTTGCATTTAGATGCATGCAAGGCCTTGCCCTTCTGCGCTCATGGTGAAATTCCCCTTCCTGGTTGCTCAGAGGCTTAGCGGTCAAGGTGTGAAAATCGGTGCAATGCAGCAGAGCTTGGCTTGTCTTGGGGATTTTCTGGTAGTTGGCTCAGCCCTGCTGGAAGGGGCAGGAGGATGGATGGTTCAAGTTGCTGGGACCTATTGAAACATCGGTGCTGTATTCCTTGACAGGGCCATCTGCACGACAGATACGGGCAGCTTGTGAACATTTACACCAGACTCCTTCTCACCAAGATCTCCTTCCACCTGAAGGTAACGCCAGCAAGGCTGGGCTGGTTTGGGGGCATATTGAGGGAGCTTTGGTGCAAGGCTGCTGGGCTGTTTTCTGGCCTGGCGTATTCATGCTTTTTTGCGGGTGCGAGGACCTTCTTGTGAAAGACACGCTCGCCAAGTGGGGCAGGGGAAGGGTGGGATGGACTGTTGCTGGCACTGATGAGGACTGTCTTTGCTCGAAGCACCCGGAGTTTCCACCAAACCTAGAAGTGACGGACGAGGTGCTGGAGAAGGCCGCGGGGACAGACGTGAACAACATGTGAGTGTGGTCACACATTGTGCACGGCACAAGGGCTGCATCACTCCCGAGTCACCACAGTCAGATCCCTAGCCACGTCAGTGGATGCACCTATCGAAACCGGGGGCAAGATGGGACACCTCTGTGCACGGGGGCACCTTTAAGGCCCGCATGAGCCCGAAGCACGAGCGATATGTCTGCGCATCGTGTCAGCAGGGCAGGGCAGTGCGGGAGATATTGGTGGGCTCGTGTCGGTGGTTCTTGTTCTCCAGAAACTCAGATTCCCATCAATTGGCCCTTTCAGCCCTGAGCCAAAGTGGAGAGCTGTCAGAAACAAGCCAAGGCTTAATTTCCAGAGGATCTTGATGCTCCTAATGGCACTTAGAGAGACACGTCTCTGACCAGTAAGCCCCAGAGCTGGAATGTCTTACTGGGTTGCTGCTGACAGCCGTTACCTGTTTTATCGAAGGGCCTGCAGTAACATCTCTCTCCTACTGGCGATGGGGAGGGAGGAAGACTTGTGTGGTTTGAGGGGGGAGATACCCACGCTGCAGCAGCACCCTCCAGTCATCCCTCCTCTCCCTGTGCCCCCAGCATAGGGGCTCAGCCATTGCTGAGTTGTAGTGTTTGGGGATGGTACTGTATGACTGAGGCTACCTCTGGGACCGCAGCCCTGCTTTCTTCTCTGATGCCGGCAGGTTTCTCAGCCCGTGGGTTTGCGCTGGTACCACATGCTTCTGGTGAAAAACAAACAGCCGGGGTAGCAATCAGGACTAAGCATACCAAGGGTCTGCGGTACCAGACCACGATATGCTGGCATCTCTTTTGTTGAGCCTTTCTGAAGCAATGCCAGCCTGGCTGTAAAGTGACGGCTTTTGCTCTGTTGCAGCTTTCAGCTCACGGTTGAGATGTTCGATTACATGGACTGTGAACTCAAGCTCTCCGAGTCAGGTGAGTAGCCCATTCTCTCCTGGTTTCTTTGTGTTCCCTGTACCCCAGGTGGCTAAGCCATCACCCCTTAACCCAAGTCTTGTCCCAGCCGAGCTCTAGTCCATCATTCTCTAAGAAGCAAGGTGCTTTGGTTTCTAGAGCAGCCACCAGCTTTGTTTGCTCATAGACAGAGCTGGCTAAGCAGGCCCTTTTGGAAAGGCCATTAGCAAACCTGCACTGGCTTTGAACAATGGCAGTTCAAGTGTGGCATTGAGCAGAGAGATACATGTTCCCGTCGACATGCAGATGTTAATGGCAGACATTATGTGAAGCCCTAATCTCATAAACTGGGGAGTAGAATCGAGGGTGTTCCCTTATAAATATTCAGTTTTCTCTCTGAAACATCCTCTTTGAGACCTGAAGGACTCGCGCTGGGGCTGCTTCTGTGCACCGCCCTTGTGTCACTCTCCAAGGAGCGATGGTGCAGACACCAGCCGTTCCCCAGCAGGGACGGTCAGCCAGAATGGGGCTTGCAAAGCGGTCACGCTCGTCACGGGCTGCAGGGCCAGAGGAACTAAAACACTTGGGCCCTTTGCTTTCTCCCCAGAAATAGGGGGTAAAGACCCAGTGATTCAGTTGTCAATACAAAATGGTAGTTGCTGTGTTACCCAGGAGAGAGCAGGAGACAAACACTTAATGTGTCCGTACTGGTCAGGAGGTCCCCCATTCCTCTCCTGGAAACCCAGACAGATACCTCGTCTCTGCCCCCACCCCAGTCGGTCACAATACTTCTGAGCCTGGAGGCCCAGTGTGGTAGGTGCCCTCCAGTCCCTTGAGGCATAGTTTGCAGCTGGCGGTGATTAGCAGTAAGATCCCAGGAGGATCTCGGCCTCCCCCTCCCCTGCCTGGTGCCACTGTACCAGGCTTGCCTGTGTCCAAATTCATCCCATGTCTCCAGGCAGCCTGTGGGCAGCACCACGTACTTTCCTGTTAATCATAAAGCTTTACTGCCTCGGTTCCAACCACCCAAGGGCAAGCTGAGCAAACAGAGGCCGTCGGGTCCCAGCCGGTGTGAGGTCCGGGGAGATCCATTACCAGCAGGCTGGCTCGTTGCGTTGGCTGCAGGCCTGCGTCTTTCTCATCTGGGACTGCACTGGGAAGCTGAGCTGCAGCACGTCATGTTGTAATCACGCATGGCAGAACCTGACCCTGGGTTCAAGCTGCATGTGAGCACATCTCATCCATCGGTGCCATGAATCTTCCCAGAGAGCAGGGGTAGGATTAGGGCTGTGATCTGCCCAGCGCCGTGATTGGGAGGCTGCCCTTCCTTTGGCGGGAGCATGAAGCCCTGTGTAGTTCAGTGAGATCCCACCTGAAAGGGAGCCCCAGGCCGCCTGCCAGGAATCGTCTGTCTGCAGAGCCTGTGCTAAGCCATAACCCTCTGCCTCGGCCTCCTCTCCTTCCCCAGTCTTCAGGCAGCTCAACACCTCCATGGCTGTGTCACAAATGTCTGCCGTGCAGTGCCGCCTAGCCCCGCTCATCCAGGCGATCCAGGACTGCAGCCACCTCTACCATTACACCGTCAAGCTCCTGTTCAAGCTGCACTCATGTGAGTCTCCCCCAGCCATGTCGCCCATGGAGAGGGTGGAGCATAAAGGGGTAAAGCCCTTCCTAGGGGCAGCCAGTAGTGTGCAATGTGCAATGGCGTGATGCCTGTAAGGTGAGCCGACACAGTGCATGGACCCCTGTGTTGAGCTGCACTGAGATGCACATTCGGTCTCTTCAGCCTTTCTGAGCTCAAGGGTCTCTGTGGCTTAATATTTAGGCTGGAGGTTTGCTGCAGGGATGCAGCTGGCAGCAGCGGGGGAGTCATGGAGGGCTATGGGGTGTGGCACTCAGCAAACCAGACTGATGGAGCCCAGCTAATGGCCCCTTTCAGTCTATGTAATGCATTTACTTGGCACCTGGGCATCTCGGGACAAACACTCTGCCGCTGTCAAGATTTCACTTGCAGAGAGTCTGCTGCATGGTTTATAGCCCGGTTCTGGCACTGAATGACCCTGATCATGATAGCCTGAGAAACCGCTGGGACGAGCGCTGCATTTAGAGATGGGTACAGGATGGAGAGGGCCTCACTGTGCACAGGCGGTTGGGTATGGGAGATCAGTGCTCCTCTGCAGTTCTCCCCATGCACTGCTGAGCCTCGGTACTTTGCTTCCTGTCGGCACAATTGAGTGCTGGGGCATCGATGACGAACATGAGCCCTGGGCATCGTTCCAGATGCTGCATTTTGCAGCTGCTTCACTCAGTGGTGGGGGTCTCTTGCTGAGGCCCCATGCTGGGTTGGAGGGTGGAGCTCCAGGTTTGTCTTGATGGAGGAACTCAAGCCATCAGGATTCAGGTTGGCCAGGAGAGGTCTGTGCCAGGATGGCAGCTGCAGTTGGGGCTGTAAAAGTTAAAGTGTAACCCGAGCACCTGTCCCTGCAGCGCTGTGTGACCCGTGTGGTTTTCGTGCACGGGGTGGATGCTTCCTGTAGATCAGCAGGGTTATCAGCTTGGTTTCACGCAGAGGAGACCCCGATGACACACACCCTGATCGCCAGCTGTAAGCTGCTGGCATGTGCAGCCACTGAGCTCCCTGGAGAGCCGTCATTTTGCCAAGCACAGGGCAGACAGAACGCTTTCCTAGGACCCCTTCTCTGCCCCTTGGGATCCCTGGATTCCCTAGGACCCATCCCTGCCCCTTGGGATCAGGTCCAGGGTGACTCAGAGGCAGCTGTCCGTCTCCCCTGCCCCTCTGATGCTTGATTTCCAGATGAGACATTTACGGGCAAACCTCCTAAAAGCAAATATCCTGAGGGAGAAGGCAGAATGCTCCAGGTGCCTGCTAGTGACTTGTGCAGGAAAGCCTTGTTGCATAAACACAGCCCCCGTAGCACCTGCCTCTGGGGTCAGGCACACCGGGATTCCCGGGTCTCTCTCACCTGATGCACGGCAGGTCAGGTCAGGTCCAACTGTGGCTGCCACTGTCATAGACAGTCACTATTCAAATGTTGGAGCCCTGCACGAGGGCACGTGCGGTGTGATCGTGCAGCGCTCTTCCTTGTGGCTGGACCAGACGGCTTCTGTCTGCGCAGCACTGCGTGGGCAGTGCGTGCCGTCAGAAGGATGGGACATGGGTGGCATTCCCTGGGTTCATGGCTTGGTTCATCACTCCCCGTCTCCTCGACTCCTGCAGGTCTGCCAGCCGACACGCTGCAAGGCCACCGCGATCGCTTCCACGAGCAGTTCCGCAGGTAAGAAAGGACGTCCCAGCCGTAGCCCTTGGGCCGTAGGGAACGTGGTGTTTGGCTTAGGGGGGTGCTTGCTACCCCACATTAACACCTGCTTTGCTTTTCTCCCCCCTGCTCCCAGCCTCAAAAACTTCTTTAAAAGGGCCTCGGACATGCTGTACTTCAAGCGCCTCATCCAGATCCCCCGGCTGCCAGAGGTACTGTTGGCTTTGCTTCCCCGGGAATGGCGATGTGACATCACAGTGGCAGCCTCTGGCACTGTGCACAGCGTGCATTGATGCAGGGGGCTGCCTACCCCAGAGACCCTGGGGATGGGGAGCGTGGGACGCAGGGTGCTGTAGAGGAGGTCCCAGTGCCGAGCAAATGCTGCTGACTGCCCAAGCTGCCCTGTGGATGTCCAGGGCTCCACAGGTAGAGACACCAGTGGGCAATGCACCTTGGGGCGCCTGGCTGGTGGCTGGCTGCTCCATGCCACAGTCGGGTCATGTGGCCACGATGGCGCAGGATGTCAAAAGTGTATCTCGATGCTCCAGTGCTTTTCAGTGGGAAGTGCCATGCGGCAGGCAGCCAGTGTCAGCAGGAAGGGGGCTTTCACTCCAGGATTTTTCATTCCAGATGCCACGCCATAAGCAGTAGCTCCTATCACTGAGGCCACGTCCTCTTTCAGCATCTGCTTACCCGGTCCTCAAGTTCCTCCATTGAGGAGACTGGCAGGAAAGGCTATATAGGCCCCAGGGCCCATAGCATGAGATTCCCCCATTGCCACAAGCTGCAGAAGCACCGGCGCAAGGGATGGGGAGAAGGTGGGGGTGCCGCGCCATATGTGTGACCCTGACCAAAGCATGCCATGTCCCAACAGAGCCCCCCTAACTTCCTGCGGGCCTCGGCGCTGGCGGAGCACGTGAAGCCCGTGGTGGTCATCCCGGAGGAGGCCCCTGAGGATGAGGAACCGGAGAACCTGATCGAGATCAACACGGCCCCTGCGGCAGAGCAGCAGGTGGGAGCCTGGGGTGCTCAGGCCGGACCACCCTCAAAAGGAGCCAGTGCAAATCACGTGCTCTTCCATCTTCCCCCCCACCCAGCACTCTGTGTCGTGATGGTGGTGAAGGCTGAGTCCTTTGCTTTTAGCCACGTCCGTCCTTCAGGGACATTGCCAGGCCGGACATTGTCTCCCCTCCCACACAGCACAGCTGGGAGCAAAGCAGTCTACTCCAGCAAGCTGCCGATAGCCGAGGCTGGGCACCGCTGCGCCTCGTATCTAGTGTGGTGGGGGTGCGGGTCCCCCCAGGCTTGGCAGGAGCCTTTCTCGGCTGTGGCTGAAAGCATGCTGACTAGGCGGTCTCTGATTATTTGGGGTATCGCCTGTCAAGGGGCATTTGGGCTTAGTCAGGCCAGACCCTGGCGAGGACCCAGTGAAGGGCTAATGCTGTCCATTGCCTGGTCCCCTGTAGGTCACGTCAGACATATTCGAGCAGACATTCGGGCCCCCCAACGGTATCCGGGATGACAGGTGAGGGGGAGCAACACTGGCCGGGTCCGGCTGGGAGCTGCCATTCTCCGGGCCGGTCATAAGCCTTCCTCTCCCATCCCCAGGGATCTCCAGATTGAAAACCTGAAGAGGGAAGTGGAAACCCTGCGCATGGAGCTGGAGAAGATTAAACTGGAGGTGAGGCCCCGTGCCGGGGTAGCCTGGGGTCGATGGGGAAAAGGAGGTGGAAGGTGCTGCCAGTCAGGCTCTGCGCCGCTCTCAGGGAGAGGATAAGTCTGACGTGGCCGTCAAGGCTTTCGTCTCCAGTTGGACCAAGGGCTGAATCCCCAGGGTCCCAGGCCAGACCCTGTGCATGGGTGCTCGGGACGGCCAAGCTGTCTTGATCCTGAGCATCCATGGTGTTTAGCAGATGTTGGTGACAGGTCAATATGAACCCTGGCATTAGCACTAGCCTCGAGGGGAAATGGGCCCGTCTCTCTGCTTGCCTTTCTCCATGCCCACATCAAGGATCTTTGCTGGCGATGCTCCAGCCCAGCCTGGGCTCAGCAGGGCACCTTCTCAGAGGCTCCCGAACTGCCCGGCCATGCTGCAAAGATTTCTCCCTGTTCCCCACATTCAGCAGAGTCTTTCAGCCAGGGTGTGAGGCCTTTTGTAGGGACAGTTGGAGGAGAAAGATGATGCCAGATATATGACTCTGTGAGGGACAGACCTTCTTGTGGTTGCTGCCTGGGCCTGGTCTCCACTGGGCCAGCTGGAGCTCCAGGGACTGGGCCTGACACGGGATGCAGCGGGCATGGTGGGGGCAGAAAGAGAGCAGGTGTGTGTGTGTGTGTGTGTGTGTGTGTGTGTGTGTGTGTGTGTGTGTGTGTGTGTGTGTACAGGCACCTAAACCCCGGGGCTGAACCAGACGGTGGCTAGCGTATGTCAGTAGAAGAAAAACAGGCCCCAAGGAAAGAGGAACTGAAATGGTAACAGTATTAAAGCAGGAGAGATTGTGACAGCAGGTGCTGGGAAGATTAGGTCTCCCCAGAGCCCCCTCACACAGGCTGCACACGTGAGGTGCCTGGCAGGGTCAGCAGAAGCCCTGGCATGGGTCTGAAAGCAGTTTGTTGCCAGAACTGGTGCCATGCCAGGCTCTATGGTGCAATGCCTGGGCCGTGCATGCCTCAGGGTCTGTCTCTCTTGGCATCCCCAGGCGCAGCGGTACATTGCGCAGCTCAAGGCCCAGGTCAACAGCCTGGAGGGTGAAGTGGAGGAGCAGCGGAAGCAGAAGCAGAAGGCTTTGGTGGACAACGAGCAGCTGCGGGACGAGCTGGAGAGGCTGCAGAAAGCCAAGCTGGACAGTGACCGAACACAGAGGCTGTACGTCGAGGCCGAAAGTAGGTGCCGTCAGGGGCTGTGGGCGGGGAGGGGGCTGCTGACACCTGGGTGTCTGCTGGGTCTGTCTCCAGGTGAGGATACGTTTCACCCACCCGTGTACAGCATGGCTGAACGCAGTCAGCCCGGCAGGGCTCTGTGCTGCAGCCATTCTCATGGTGCAAAGCGCCAATGGGAAATCCCAGAGCCAGGCACTGGGACAGGCCCACCCCACGTGCAGCAGCCGGGCCCCGTGCCTCCTGTTCGGTGTGTTCCCCATCTTCGTATGGTGCTGGGCTGACGCTGGGAGGTTTGTGTGCATTTCAGAGAAGGCCGGTGCCACCGAGATCCGCTACACCAAGCTGAAGGAGAAGCACAGCGAGCTCATCAACACGCATGCTGAGCTCCTGAGAAAGGTATGCTAGGAAACGGACTTGTCCCCAGAGGCTCTCCGTGGGCAGCTTTATGTCCCCGTGAGGTATCGACAGCCTCTCCCACCTCCTCTCTCGCTCCAGAATGCAGACACAGCCAAGCAGCTGACAGTCACCCAGCAGAGCCAGGAGGAGGTGGCGCGCATCAAGGAGCAACTAGCTTTCCAGATTGAGCAGGTCAAGCGGGAGGCAGAGATGAAGGTGCGTGACCAGGAGGCTGTTCTGCGTCCCCGCAGACCTGGGAACACTGCCCAGGGCCTCGGGGAGGGTGGCAGACATCAGCAGGGGCCTCGAGGAAGTGTAGGCTTGGGTGTTGTTCAGTAGCTGGACTGTGGCACCCTGCATTTGACCTTCTCAGGGTCCAAGTGGGGGCAGAGGCAGCACCGAGTAGTTTTAGGTTGCTGCTAGGCACCAGCTAATGCTGCTGCATCCATCTGTCCCTACAGCTGGAGGACCAGACCCTGCAGATGGAGCAGCTGAAGAGAGAGCTGGAGACCAAGAAGGAGGAGCTGATGCAGTCACAACAGTCTCTCAGCCACTCCAAGGATGTAGGTGCCGCAGTGCCACATATAGCGGATGGCAGGGACTGGTTCATAGAGCAGCCAAGGTGGGCGTCAGAGTGCCAGGCTGTCCCATCCCAACATGAGGAGATCTCCCTGCTGCTCTCGCCGCCAGCAAAGCAGGTTCTCCCAGCACGTGGTCCTGCACAGGGCAGATGGGGGATGATGTGGCACCCGTGCTGGGAGTTGAGCCCCTTCGTTCTCCTCTCCCAGTCCCTTTATGTCCTGCGCCAGGGCTGGAGCAGCACGAAGCCCTGAATCCTGACAGGGTAGGAGAGATGCAACAGCAGCACTGTGGGTGGCAGCTGGAGGAGTGTGTCCCAAAGACACCCTTGGAAACCTCAGCAAGCAGGGGAGGAGTTTGGTGGGGTGGGAGGTGTAAGGTCTCAGTGTGTCTGAATGGGCCTGTTGCCCCCACGACAGCCCTGGGAAGTCCTTTGGAAACTTGAGGCCGGGCATCTGGGATAGTGCAGGGGCTGTCTCTGCCAGCCTCCCGTAGGAGGGGTTGGGGGAAGTTTGCCGTGGGGTGAAAAAGCAAACAAAACATTAGGGATTATTAAGAAGGGAACTGTAAATGAAACGGGAAGTATCATCATACCCCTTTATAAATCCATGGTGCGTCCACACCTTGAATACCGTGCCCGGTTCTGTTCCCACACCTCAAAAAGGAGATAGGAGAGCTAGAGCAGGTCCAGAGAAGGGCAGCAAGGATGATGAGCGGCATGAAGGGACTTCCATGTGAGCAGACACTATAGAGGCCGAGCTTATTCAGTTTAGAAAAGAGATGCTTAAGGGGGAACACAATAAGGGTTTACAAAATACTGAATGGTGAAGGGAAAGTCGAGAGGAATGTATTATTGACTCGCTCTCTCACCAGAACTTGAGGTGACGCAATGAAATGAGCAGGCTGTCAGTTTAAAACTAACACAAGGAAGGTCGTTTTCACCCAGCATGTCATTAACGTGCGGGACTCGTTGCCACCGGACGTGGTGGACGCTGACGGCGTAGGCAGATTCACAAAAGGGCTGGACAAATGCTTGGAGGAAAGGGGCAGCAGTAGCTACTGAGCACGGGCGTGAGGGGCACGAGGCTGGGCAAGCTGGACCTTTGGTCTGACCCAGTCGGTGGCAGTTCCTGTCTTCTTATAAAAGATGGAGCCCCTGCACCCAGGGCCAAATGTCATGTTCCCACCTGGATATGTAGGAAGCAGAGATTCAGGCCAGCCCGAAGCAGCCCTGGTTCCTGCCGGGAGCCGTCAGTACTGTGTGTAATCGAGGATGGGCGCTGGCTTGTCCCAAGGGTGTAGGTGGTGCAGCGTGACATGCTGCTGCTTCCCTCTCCGCAGACGGGCTCCGAGCTGAGCTCGCGGCTGGAAGCTCTGCACGCCGAGAAGGACTCGCTGAGGAAGGCGGTGAGCGAGCAGGAGCAGGAGCTGCTGTCCACGAAGGGCCTGATCGAGGAGAAGGAGCTGCTGTGGCACCAGGAGGCCGAGAAGAGTGCGAAGGAGATCGGGGAGCTGCGGGGGAAGCTGGTGGACAAGGTAGCGGGGAGAGAGCCCTGGTGTCGCTTGGGGGACATCTCGTTCCTGCCTTTGTAGGGTCTGAAGCGAGGCGCGGGCAGAGAAAGTTCTCCGTGTTGTCATCAGTCGAGCTCGTGCGGTGCTGGCTGATGGCTGAGGAGCTCCCTTTCCCCTCGGAGACTGCACGACCAGAAAGGCCTTGCACTGAAATGTTTGCGTGCGGTGACGCAGCCTCTCTTCAGTATCAATGGCTGCAAATCACATCAATGTTCCTCCCTCCGTGATGGGGGCAGAAGCAGGGAACTAGGAGCCAGGACTCCTGGCTTCTTTTCCTGACCGACAGTACTTGGGCCATCGGGTATGGAGAGAGCAGGTGTAACTGTGACGAGGTGACCGGGGCAGCTGTCCTGGGCACTGTCATAGGGGAGGGGGCACAAAAACAGTGCCGCTGCATCTGCATGATGACACTGGCACTGCTGCTCCCATGCATCCGGCTGCCTCAGCACCTGGCTGCCTTGTTACACCTCTGGCACCACCCAATTATGACCCAGTCGCCCTTTTCTTGCCATGCTTTTCTGGTTGCTCAGACCCTGGCCTCTACCCCAGCCCTGGCCCATCGTGTAGCAGGGCTGTGGCTTGTAGCAGCTGGCTCTCCCCACCCCAGAACAGGGAAGGTGGGCAGCTACATGGTGGAGGTGCCCAAGCTGGCTGGCATCAAGGTGTGGTTGCATTGACTTTGAGCCAGTTGTGTTGCCTTGGTCGTTTTCCTGCCGCCACCTCCTCAGTGTAGGTTGTGCAGCCTGTTCGTTGAAAACGAGGGTGGAAGGGACCTCAGGAGGTCACGTCTAGTCCATCCCCTGCTCAGAGCAGGACCAGCCCCAACTACATCATTCCAGCCAAGGCTCTGTCTACCCGGGTCTTAAAAACCTCCAAGGAGAGAGACTCCACCACCTCTGTGGGTAACCTGTTTCAGTGCTTCACTACCCTCCTAGTGAGAGAGTTTTTCCTAGTATCTAAACTTCCCTTGCTGCAATTTGAGCCCATTGCTCCTTGTTCTGTCATCTGTCCCCACTGAGAACAGTCCAGCTCCATCCTCTTTTGAGCCCTGCTTCTGGTAGTTGAAGGCTGCTATTAAATCCCCTGAGTCGTCTCTTCTGCAGACTAAATAAGCCCAGTTCCCTCAGCCTCTCCTCAGAAATCATGTGCCCCAGCCCCCCAACCATTTTCATTGTCCTCTGCTGGACTCTCCCCAATTTATCCACACCCTTTCTGTAGTGGGGGGCCCAAAACTGGACACAGGACTCCAGATGTGGCCTCCCCAGTGCTGAATAAGAGCCGCACAACAGCAGGGCTCGTGTATGCGTCATCCTC